CTATGTTCTATTTTTGAAAATGAGAAATTCAGAGGTAGAACGCGGATATTGCTTCATCTGGTTCTTTTGCATTATCGAGGGGACGGGCAGATGTTTCTTCCTAAGGACCCCAATTTTTAATACTTATGAATAAAGGAAAGGAAAGATGAATATTTTCACTTTTTTTTATTCTTTCTAAACGCTAAAAAGCTACAAATTTTCACCCAAATACCAAAAAAAAGGATTTTTCGATCAAAATAGAACTTTTAAAACATTTTTCAACAACACAAAACCTTTTTGTAGCTGGTTTTTCCATTTTAAATACAGCTAAATGGTCAAAATACGACTTAAACGCTTGCTATTACATCGATAGCTATATTTCGCCTGACGACGAAAATTAGACGACCACCGATAATGCAAAAGAACCCGTTAGGTTTAGAAAAACTGCCGATTTTCCCCAGGCTAAAATTTTGATCGATTTTATAAGATGCAAAAGCGCTGGCAACATGTGCCCGCGGTGCACAAAAATATCCAAATTGGCCCAATTTTTGTGTGGCAGGTGGGGGCTGGAGGCAACCACCGCCTGGGGCCCATCCCCATAATTATCTGGGGGCCCAGGAGGACCCATGGGTGGTGGTGTCAACAAATATGGCTCGGTGGCTTGATTGGAGAGGATGTGCTTGTAAAAAGGTGAAAGAAATCAAAGAATCCCGTCAAAAAAAAATGAAAAAAACTACGGTAAAATGGTAGGAGCGAAAATGCAAAAAAGGGTACAACGTCGCACCGCGTATTCGAAGCTGGTGCTTTCGCATTATCGGGGGGAACTCATATTTTTTCTTTAGGATCCAATTTTTCGAATGTCAATCGACGACTGTTTTTTTGTCATTCCTAAACGTAAAAACTTCACAAATTTTTGTGAAAAAATACAAAAAATATAGGTTTCCGACCAAATTTCAAAATGTCCTAGGTTTTTTAAATAGTTTTTCCACTTCAACATATAGTTAAATTTTACTAAAAACACGATTAAAACACTTAGAATTACGTTACTAGGCATTTCTGGGCTTATAGGTAAACATTAGGATAAGGAACAGAAAGCGAAAACTAGACCAAAAATGAAAATTTCGTTTTTTTGTGGTTTTAAAGGGGTCGGCAAGGGACCGCGGTCCAATTCCCGGATCAAAAACCCGGAAAAACGATCGGTCAGATGAGAAGAGTATTTGGATGTGAATGGCGGGATTTGTTCGTGTTCCTGGTGGTGTAAGGCCGGATCGGCAATCGGACTGATCGGATCTCGTCCCGGCGGCGCCTACACCAAAAAACACGCTCTCGATCATGATATTCCGCCCGCAGGGGACGGGGGGGGGGAGCAGTAGTGGCAACCATTTCAACTTGATTGATGGATTTGTTCCACGGATTCTACCTGGCCTGAGGAGTCAAAAGGAATGGCTTGTTCCTGGGTATAAACTTCAGGTAACTAACAAAATTATAAGCGCGGATGGTAGTGCGGCGCGTAGGGCGCTTTTGCAATATCGGGGGTGGGGGGCATCGATGGTGGGTAAAACACTGGATATTTTTTTGTAAAACATGCGATAAAAAATGAAAATGTAACCATGAAAATTTGTGAGCCTTTTACGATCGGGAATAGTAAAAAAACAGTTTATAAACACCTCGACTATTTACAGTGCAAAATTTGGTCTTAGAAAAAAATGTATACGTACCCCCGATAATGCGAATAACCAAAAATACAAAAATATTGATTTTATGACTTAAAATAATCAATTTTCCACAAAAATACAAAATTATAATGATTTTCCCTAAGCTTCTCGTTAGTTTTTTTACTTCCATTCTCGTTAAATGTTACTAAAAACACCATTAAACTAATTTAGTACGTTGCCAGGCTCTGAGAAGGGGCTCCCGGAAACTGCGAAAACTCTAAAAATAGACCTAATCAGTTGAAAATATTAAAATTTTAGGTTTTTGACGTTGAATAGAATGAGGTGTGCAATGCCTGCTAACTGTTTGTAGGAGCTCTCCTTTTTGGCATCGAATTTCAGCTAGGGCCCGTCTTCTTCTTCGCAACGAAGAAAGAAAGGAATGAAGGGCCCGATATTTGCATCGTTGCCCCCCTTCACGGCCTTTCAGAGCGCGCAGGGGGTGGTCGGGGCGTGGTGTAGTGGTCTAAGGCGGCGGTTCAGCCCCGAGGCGGGGACGCGGGTTCGGTTCCCGAGTTTGCAGGCCTCCGCATTTTCGTTTTGCTTTTTGTGGAAGGTGTTCCTAGTGGAATGTCATGACTCTCGACGAATCAAGAGCATCCTATCCTTTTTTGCGCAGAATGGATGAAGAAAAACAGCGGACCATACATATTCCAATCGACCGCTGTTAAATCACAACGCTCGACATTGTAAACTGGTTGCGGCAGATTAGCGAAGTTTGTTCTGTGTTCCTGCTTTCGCAGGTTCCACAGCCAGTAAAGTATTTAGCCAGTTGAATTTTAACTAACTTCTTTGCAGCCTGATGTAGATGTTAAGGTGATGCGTTTTGCTTTTTTGATGTTGCTAGTCTATCTTTTCAAAAAATGCAATTGAGGCGCTATGGACAAACTTTGCTTCCTATGTGCCCGTTGTCTTGGTCCTCATTTTTCTCAACTTCAACCGACCGGGCGCCCGATTGCCGTCGATTTTCGTGAACCTTGCCCAAGATGTGCAGAGCTGTTCTTTTTTTGTACCTCAGTGTTGTGAAATCTTCTCAGAAAGTTTGCCAGTTGAAAGTGGAAAGATAGCACCCCTTCTAACAATGCTCGCGGGGGTTTGGGCGCCCGTAGCCTGCCCCTTCGCCCCCTCTCGTGCGGTTTTCTTAAGGTGAATCGGCCTTCAACGATTGTCCACGCGCTTCGCGGTTCTTTTGCATTATCGGGGGGTGTCAATGATTTCCGAGGTTCAGTTAGAGCACTAATATAAACCGAAGAAGAGTTTCTAACCGTTTTTTACTATTCCTAAACGTAAAAAATACAATTTTTCATAAAAATAGAAACACAAGTATCGATTTCCCGAAGAAAATACACATTTTAACACCTTAATCTACATTTTATAGCCACTTTTCCGCTTTAAATATAGCTAAATTGGCTAAAACCACTTTTTCAACCCTCGCGTAGCTGAAATTGTTTATCGAAGATACAAAACAAGTACATTTTTCGATGAGAAATGATAAATACCTGTGAAAACATTTTTCTAAGACTTATAGGCAATTTTTCCATTTTGAATATAACTAAATAAACCTAACATGTAAGGCACTATTTAAAAACTTATTTACTTGCGATTGTTTATCGAAAATACAAAAAATAAATAGATTTTTCGATCAAAATTTTCATTTTTAAACTTTTTTAGAAGTTTTTCGAGTTTAAATATAGTTACATTTTACCAAAACACGATTAAAAGACATACCAGGCATTTTTGGACTTTTAGGACCCTCCATCACCCCGAAATGCGGACTAAAAATAAGGTTCAAATCGTCTAGAACCCAGCAATAATGAAATTATTAAAATCCGACCCCGTAACCACAGACAAATAGCCCGGAGGGGAATATCCATCGAAAGGATTGGGACGAGTGGAGGGAGAGAGAGGGCGACGAGAGATAGAGAGCGGATTATGAGCGATGTTGCGGGGACGGGAGGGGTAGATAGCATTGGATGATAGGAAAACGGGAAGCCCCCCTCATCCCAAGGACATTTCCATCCTGTAAACAATCCCCCGAATGCGAACACCAATATCCACCCCAATTCTCACCCCCGCTGTATAGTATGCAAAATGGGTATGAAATTCGGGGTAATCATCAGCTGGGAAATTGGTAATTTGGGCTCTTTTGCGTTATCGGGGGGGGGGGTTTCCCCATAAGTCCAGGTATAATAGCGAGTGTCTTAGTCAAATTTAACTATATTTTGAGCGGAAAACTATCTAAAAACCTAGAAAAAAATCGGCAGGATTTGTCGAAAATAGGTATTTTTGTGTTTTATAAAAATGCGTAAAATTAGCAAAGTTCGCACTTTTACTAATACTTGCAGGAATCAGGCCTGATTTATCGTAATTTTACTAGGCTTTCTAAAATCCAAAAATCAGATCCAAAAGATTGTCAAGATCAAATCCAAATCCAAAATATTGTGTACTAATCAGTCGTCGTTCACGTTACGATCTTAAACGTACTTTATAGTGAAAATTGTGCCGTTTATGACCTATAAAGTGCCTAAATTCCTCTAAAAATAAATTAATAATTGTATGAACCGGTAAAACAAGGAAAATTTGCTAACGTGCAGTTTGACGCGCTTTCAAGCTTCCGTTTCTGGTCGATGTAGCTGGGCTCTGAGCATCCATATCTGGAAATGCATAAGAAATCTAAAAACATAAAAAAACAACCCTACTTCATCCCCCACTTTCACTTTCACCTCGAAGACGTCTTGTCGGTCTCGATCCACTTCCAGCTGCCGATGAAGTCACGAAGAGAAAGGTCATCTCTCACGTATCTCGGTGAAGGCATCTTTTTGTCTACCAAATTCGCGCTGCCAACGCCATTTGGGGGCGCATCGTCAGCAGGTAGCCAGAAAAAGATGCGCTCGACGGTGCTGCCACCCCGTTTCGATCCACGCAAAAACAGACGCATAACCCGAGAGCGCTATATAATGTGGCGCGTAGAAGGGGAAATATGCAGTCTACTTTCTCTACCCTGCTTGGTAACCTCGAGGCTTCAGCTTCGCTTTTAAAACTAGGAATCGTATGTCCAATTGATGTCGAAAAAGTACAATGGGACCTTTCCCGTCTAAAACCATCGCAAAATTCTTTTTTTTACCTTTTTTTTGGTCCATTGAAATATGTTTTCAAAGTAACTCCTCGCTTAGTAGGGCGCTAATAGCCCATTGGCGTCGAAAAACTAAACCTAAAAGTAAAATTGAAGCTCTTCGCTCCAAAAATGTTATCTCCTCCCCACGTTCAACTGCATTTTCTTCTTTCTAAAATTAAACCCGGTTTTCCAGGATGTATAAATCGAACATCATCGTGGCGTCGGTGTCTATAGGGGCCGTGGTGATTACCGCCATCTCACTGCTATCATTCGCCGCGATCGTGCGTGACATCAACGGACTTCAGGATGAGATCCAGAAGGGCGTCCATGAGTTTAAGGTCTGGGAAACTAAAAAGCCCCTAAAGGAATACAATAAAACAGTTGGAAACTAAAAAAACTCGGTTTAGACCGTGTCTGACGATGCTTGGATCCGAATTAACACAGTGAGCGTGCCCCATGGCGCCTCGGAGCTTCCATTCGGCACCATCTTCGGCAGAAACAAGCGTCAGGCCGGTTCTCAATGCCGTAGGTTTCACGGAAATTAGTGCGTCAAGCTAGTTATCTTCAGATTGCGGCGTTCCGCGCAAGAACTGCCCAGCTGGACCTCCCGGTCTCCCCGGAACCCAGGGAGAGTACGGCCCTGATGGTAATGACGGAACCCCCGGACCCGATGGTGAGCCCGGCATCGTGCCGCCCAACTTCAAGGAGATTGACACCCACAAGTGCCTTCAGTGCCCCGCAGGACCGGTTGGACCTCCTGGCCTCCCTGGATGCGTAAGTTGACCAAATTTTTTAACTAAATTAAAAATTAAACCTACTATGGCAAATATTTCAGGAAGGACCTCCCGGCAAAGACGGACAACCCGGCCGACGTGGACCCGTTGGAGAGGATGGAGAACCAGGCCCTCAGGGTGAAGTTGGCTCCCAGGGACGCGAAGGCTACGAAGGACACGATGGACATCCCGGACTCCCCGGAGAGGATGCTATCGGCGGAGAGCCTGGACTCCCCGGTCAGCCCGGACAGCGTGGAGTCCACGGATCGTGCGGAGAGCCCGGAAAGGTGTGTCTAAAAAGAAAGCTTTATAAAATTTTCCAGGATGGTGACAACGGTGAGGATGGAACCCCCGGACAAGACGGACAGCCTGGAGAACAGGGTCTGCCTGGCCTCCGTGGTGATGATGGCCGTCCTGGAAACCCTGGTGCTCCTGGAGGTTGGTAGCCAAACTAACGTATCGCACTCAACAAATTAACATCTTGAAGCAATGCTATAAGCAAAAAATTTAGTTGCCGGAGACGATGGTGAATACTGCTCGTGCCCTCTGAGCAGTGCCGCCCGCAAGGTGCGCAAGGTCGAGCTGGTCGCCAAGGCCCCAGAAGTACACCGCATCGAGCGTGTCCCCCACCACAACCGTCAACACCGCCGCCGCCCTCAACACTTCCACAACCGCGCCGCGCTCAAGCATTAGTGATCGCGCTAATAATAAACTATAGGACCACAACATCGTGTCCGAAATATTCATGCCAAATACACATAAAAATATCACAATTGACAATCCAAACTCGGCTTCCGAACAAGCCGAAAACCCGAGAGAATAAGAAGGCGAATATAAAAGCGAGGGGCGGAATAGAACGTTCAAGAGACTTACAACAGCGCGATGCCTTAGCAAATAAATAAATTATGGCGAACACCGAACAAGTGTGAGAATTTGTGATAAACCCCGATTCGCGGCTTCAATACAAGTATGGTGGTTAGAAGAAGAAACGCCAGAGCAGCACGAAGAAAAAGAGGACGGTCATGCCAGCGCCCACTTTCAGCCAGGTCGAGCGGCGGTTGAGAGCCTAACTCCCGTTATTGACCGAAAAAAATACAGTACCTTTGCATCTTCACGATATTTGCGGGAGAGACCAGAGAGATCATTTGCTTTTGCCTCCAAGATATTCAATGCCTAAGATTAAATAAATATCAATTTCATCCCAATTATGTACCTCTCCACGATGAATGACATCTTCAATGTTGCTGATCATGATCCTTGTTACGTCCTAATCAAACTTTAGATGACAGGGTCTCAAACACAAACCTTTAGCTCAGACGAAACCTCCTGCATCGCGAAACGAGATCGATCAGAATACTTTCGCTTGGCTTGTTGAATGTAGGAATCGAACTCGAGGAAATGATACGGCCGACTCACGGTATCTATCTAAAGCCAAGGATCAAAAATAGGCAAATGAGCACCACCTTTGACGCGTACTGGTTGAGGAATTCGTTGGCTACATCATCCAGAAAAGAAAAGGCAAGTTTTCTGGGGTATTGGCGGTCACAGAGCGCCAGCGCGCAGATCGTTCCCTGAACTTTGCGATTAGAGCAAGCAAAAAATTCACCTTGATGACATAGTGGAATTGGTAGGGACCGCTTTCGAAGGTATGAGCTGCGTCGGTGGGGTTCAATTTTTTGAAGAGCATTTTTGCCTAAAGCTCTTGTCAATCAAGAAAACGGGCAGGTACCTGATTTGTGTACTTGACCAAGTTGCTGTCCCCGCCATCAGCACCTTCAATGGACGTGGCCAGGATCAACCCATCACGAACACGACCAATCAATGTCAACAGAGACATTGTGGGCTTAACTAAACGAGACTTTGTAAGCCAGCCTTCATTTAGCCAATATATTGCTGATTCGAACAGCTTTTATTTATACAGCTTTCCAAATACTTTCTGATTAAAAATTTATCCAACAAATTGTTCCATCTTCAACAAACAATACTTCAACAACAAAAGCCAACAAGATGAACGCAAGGTGTGCAACCACGTGCGCTTCTGAAGGGGGCGGGGGGGGGGGGATGGGGAAACAATCAACAACATGGATAAAGGAAGAAGAGCATCAGTTCAACATTGAGCAACGTCGTCAAATATCAAGAAGCAAAATCGTGTTTGATCACAAACTCGCGAGCATAACCCAGATCAGGAATCTAAAGAAAGATATTCGAACACAAAAATAAACTTACGTTGCAAGAATTGGCGCAGGTATAAATATAGATAGAGGCCCAGTCAACCGATTTGCCGATAGAGTCGAGCTCGAGGATTGAAAGGAGGTTCGGCATCAGCTGCATCTCGAAGGAGCGGGCGCCCTAAAAGACACGGTTTTTCAGAGACGTGTAAAACCTACCCCGCAGATCTCGCAATTCGGTGGGGAGGAGAGAGGAGGGGCTTTGAGTGTAGCAGGCAAAGGTTCGCCTCCACGCACGTAGCGAAGGATTTGGTCCGGATTCAATTCGACGAGACGGGAGAACCTATAAATCAAACATAATGTGGAATCATCAAAACTCACTTTAAAAAGGCAACGTCTTTTTGATCCTTCTCATCTTCCTCCTCATCGCCACCGGCAATTTCCTCCTTCTAAACGAAGGTCTTTTTACATATTTCCAAAACTTTCTTACGTCGGAACGAGAGTTGAGGAAATTATTGTAGTCAGCCAGACGGCGCTTGATATCAGCCTCTTTCTCGTCCTCACAATCGTCTTCGGAATCGGAAATACCCTAAATTTCCGGCTTAGTAAATGAAAAATCACCCGAACCTCAAAGAGATCACTAGCAACATATTCTTGGTCCATCTCGATGGCATGTTCTTTGAAGGTGAAAGGGTTTACAGCTCCCCTCTTCGGTAGCGCCACCCTCGGCGCATCTAAAGCAATATTTGTACATTGATCAATAGAGGACACTTACAGTTTTTTATGCGATGCCCAATCGAGTGCCTGGTGATCTCGAGAACAGTACCACACGCGTAGACATTTTCCGCATTTTTTGGAGGCAAAACCACCGCAAATGGAGCATAATTGAGGATAATCTAAACAAATCTAATACTTCACGATAGAAATACCGGTGGTTGCATAGGGGTCAGGGATGTCGCCGGCCAAATCGGGATCCAGAGGGTCGTCGGGGGAATAGAACGGGTTTTGGCGAGGTAGGGCACAACGGAGGACGGCAATATTGGAAGCGTCATGTTCCTATATAAGTTATAGCTTTATTTCTAAGGCTCACCTGACTACATTCTGGGTTCTTACATACAAAAACAAAAAGGGTTCGGTGGAATGAATGGGGAGGGTCATTGTTGGAAGTGGCGTAGACTTGTAAACAGAAGCACATCGGTTTCTTGCACACCTGAAAGCCAATAGACCAAAAATAGAAATCGACCAACCTTGCATTCGAGCTCTTCAGGCTTCGGCAATTTGATCGGGTTCAGCCAAGCAGGCTTTCCTCCTATTTTGCCAAGTGGGAAGTAATGTGAGCGAAGACGGAACAATTCGGATTCAGGTAGTTCTTTGGAAAAGCCAAGCGAAATGGGGTCATCGAAAAAAATATTATAGTCCATTTTGAATTTTCACCATACCATAAAAATTGCGAAGCATTTCTAATCCTTCTTGACGGTCTTCGGGGCGCTAGTGGCTGAGAAGATCTAAAAAAGCACAGGTCATTTCTTAAAAGTCTCAAAATTACCCAGAACAAGAGGACGACGTGAACAAGCACCACGGCGCAGATGGCAGAGTAGAGAACGGCGTCGTCGTGCCCGTAGCCAAGGATCCCTGTAATCACAGCTCCTGCCAAAGGTGCAAAGGTAACCTTGGAAGAGGAACATTTTAAGCAAAAACATCGAGATCAATGGGACAGCAATTATGGTCACTGAATAGACGATGAGGTTCTTCACTGGGCCTTGCGCCTCGCGCAATTGTGGAATAAGTGGCGTCTGGTCAGTCATGACGGGGAGTGGACTAAAATAAGAAGTTTCTCTCGTAATATTTTACATTTGTATCATTTGAAAGAAATGATGGAGGGTAAAACAACATTGGGGGTAGTAAAGGGCTTACTTTCATTGTTCCGAAAATTAGAAACTCGAAATTGCAGGTAAATTTCGGTGAATTTCAATTCGCCGAAAATTGATCGGCACTGGCGAAATAGATGGATTTGCAAATTGAAATCCCGATAAAAACGATTTTTGACATAATAAATTGCGGCATTCCCATTTTCGACATTTGGATAACAAAGCGTTATAAAGCATACTTTAAATGTTTAAACGGGGGACAAATCTAATTTTATGATTTTGCTATTTTATACAACGGTGCGGGGGGCCCCGGCCCCCGCCCCGGGGGGGGCCGCCCCCCCCCGCGCCCCCCCGGGGGGGGCGCCCCCCCGCGGCCGCCGGGCCCGGCCCCCCCCCCCCCCCCCCCCCCC